TATAGATTTAAGATTACTTAAAATTTTAGTTATCCATTTGTAGGCTTATTTTGATTATCCCAGGCCTACCGACGTGCCCCACTAGAATTGATATCGCATTGATCGAGTTATCGACAGAGAACGACACTTCGTCCCGAGACTTCGGCGAAGTCACTAGTTATGATTAGTGCGTGAGAAACGATTCGAAGAAGAATAAAATTACGTTGCCACAGCTTATTCACTGAGTTACCCTGACGAAACCTTTGCGACTAACCATCGTGCCACCGTGTATCCACCTACACATTAATATTTGTCTTCCTCACCTTTTCCATACTTTGATAAAATGACTTTTTAAAATTATCGATTACTATCTAAATGTTGCTTTCCGTGTGTTTGTATCCGAAAGTAGGTATTCGTAACACTGTCAACGGATACGAGCTCCCATAGATAAAGAAAAAAAACGAGAGGCAATCAGAGGTACGAGCGAAGGAAGAATTAAGTGCCCGAGTATGATCGACACTTACTCCAAAACAAGGGGTTCCACGAGTCTGTACAGCATTGGAAGAGCATTTGTCAGCGAGTAAAAGGCGTCGAAAGTGGACCGTGTTTCGCTCAATGAATGAGTCATCTGGTCGGTCAGCAAGTTCCCTAGGAAGCCGATCTTTTTTGCTGGAGCACCGAGTCACGATAACCGAAAAAAACAGCCATGCACCTACGGCTAGGTCGATCGATTCCCACGGCAGTTACAGGTGCAACAGATGGTCCGCTGGGAAATGTTCCCTAATGGATCTTGCCTCGCTTCGTTCGAGGCTCCAGCCGTGCATAAAGTGTGCGAAACGAGGAGGACAGGCGGACGCTGGGACAAATTTGGAAGATGCAAAGGGCCCTGGGATCCGACACAGGTAGTGCTCTCTTTGATTTTGCTCGGTTCAAGTGCAGGCCGCCCATGTACTCTTCGCTCAAAGGCGACATGCGCGACTACTGTGACATTTGCTTTCCCATAGATCGGGAGGAAGTGGACGTTTCCGAGCAAACGAAAAATGGTGGTGAGCAATCCTTCTATGGATTTTTTCCCAAATTAAGTGCACCTCCTAAATAGGGTTCGCCGTTCAACGATGGTGCGCGCGTACGTGGGATTACGAGACACCTTATGAGGAAGTCCGAGATGACGTACAGTTATAGGATTTAACGGAGATTACGCTTTCATCGATCGAACGGTTAATCCCGGAGATGGTTGGGCCAAGAACGAGGAGCAATAGCGATCCAGGAAATTGGCGGTACACCGTTGGGTAAATCGATCCCTACGATACTCGCAAGTGCAACAGATGATTTTCAGGGAACTGCTCCCTGATGGATTCCCCTTAGCCGTCTAACGCTTTGGTGGAACGGATGTCGTACATAACGACGAAGACGAGCGGATGCCGCGGAACGTTTTAGCTCCGTCATGGACATACGTTTTTGCGGGTATTACGAGCCACCGAATCACAAATCTGAAGAAGATCTACAAAAAGGACATCTAAAATGACGCACGGACCTTTCCTAGGAGGATCGCGTTGATTGAAATCATTTGATTGAAATCATCGATTTCAATCAACTGATTATTATTTTTTTTAAATCACGATTTTTTAAGTAGTCCGTGTATTGCATAGCGTAATTGCCCCGTTCGCCCTGTCATATCGGAAAACTGAAAATGACACACAGCTTATCAATTATAACGCTTAAACAGAAATATTAATTCAGATGCTTTTCGATTGTTTAGTAATTCCTAATAATTGAACGTACAAGCCCGTACAAAGGAAACCTTTTTTCTGCACATTTGCAGATCAATGCACAAAATGAGAATTATGGAAGAATTATGGAAGAATTATCGGATGGTGACTCGTACGTTTTCAAATTACGGAAACGAATTGGGATAGTTATTAAATAATTTTTATTTAAACCTATAAGTTTAAATGTGAAGTTTATTCGCACAATTAAGTTATTTAAAAAATCAGCGATTTTTATTTGTCAAAAGAAATCATGTTTACCAACCCTGTTTCCCAGCGTCGGTCCGTGTAGAAATTTGCGATCACGCCAACGTTGCTCCATTACACTTGTCACACTCTGATCCCAGCCAAGTCTCGTTATTGGCAAGGAACATCGAGGCCCTGTCCGTTGTGTTTAGTCGAGCAAACGTTATCAGATACCGCCGACCTATACCTAGCCTATACCAGGTGTCGCCTAGTCTACCCTGGTAGGCGATACCTACGAGTCGGTATTTAATTACGACCACCCATCATCGAGCAAAATAAAAGAAGCAATCCGTCGTCCGATTCGATTTCACGTAGAAGAGAGCAAGATCCACGCTTTGCGATCGTCGTTCAATGGCGCCACGTGCGTTCGAAGGGACAACGTGTGGCTGTTTATAGAGAAGCTGCAGGTGACGTATTCACCTGGAAGGGTCCTACGGATAGTACGCTCGTCCCATCGATTGACTGGCCAACCTTAAACGCGGGTTAAATATAGCGCGGCGAGCGAGTCTCGGGGACGACCTTTCGCGAGACAAATATTAGAGGGCCAATTATAATTATTCGGAAAACGCTTTTACGAGATTAATTATGCAGTTAGAGAAGAACGGGCCGAGTGCGACCCCGCGGCGCAAAGGGATTATATTCCCGGAATCGATTCCACTTTGAGCGAGCCCTCCCTCGGAGAGAGAATCGGCAGAGAGGAAGGAACCAACGAAAAGGGAAAGAGAGAGAATTCCTCGCGTATTAATAACGAGCCGCCACGACGAAAGAGGACATATCGAAGGCTCGTATCTGTTGACAGAGCGAAAATACCCATTTTTCTGACAGATACAAGAAAACATGGAAAATAAAACGTAAATACAGATTATGCGGAATTTTAACCATATTTATAAGTACATATTATCATTTAAACGACGACAAAAGAAACTATTGTGAAACTTTAAAGCCAGTTTCCAAACAATGCCATTTTTCGTGCTTTGCCATAAGATATCTCAAATGTTTTGATTCCACGTAGTATGTATTTTGCACGCGTGTAGATAGCATATGTGGCTATAGAAATGACCAGCGTCAACTATGAAAACTTAAAATGTAAGTTTTCCAATAATTTTTTGTTAATGTCAATCTTTTCATGCTTTGATTAAATGACCTTTTTAAATTATTGAATACTACAGGAAATTAATGAAAGTGGTCATTTCTGAGCACGCACTTATTATGATCCTTCGAAAAGCAGAATACTCTAGAGTGATCAGTCTGCCTGAAAACTTATGGCAAACGAGGATATATATATACCTACATCAAAATAGGATTCTTTACAATGTACCGTAACTCAAATATTTTTTAAATGCAAAATGATGAATAATTATATCAATATGCACCTAAAGGTATATTTAATAACACGCTTGAACTGTATTTAAATGTTTTATTTCTTTCCTGTAACTGAAAAATTGACATTTTCGATACCGTCAGCGGGTATGAGCCTCCTTAAGATATTATAAAAGAGTCAATTTATACATATCAAAACGTCAAAATATTTATAAAACTTTTTTGTGATCAAATGATTTGAGTGCATCAAATCATTTGAAACTTTGGCACATGATTATAGTGGCCCTAAGGAAGAACGCGATACTAATGAAATTTCATAATAAAAAAAAAAGTGTGTCCTTGTTTCTAGTCTGGGATACATTTTTTTGTTTCTTTAACAAAATTTCACTAACATCGCGTTCTTCTTTGGAGCCTCCATAATCACGTGCATAAATTTCAAATGCTTCGGTGCACCCAGTTTGGTCAAAAGTTTTATAAATATTTCGACGTTTTGATGCGCGCGCGCGCACGTGCGTGAGTGCCTTTTCATATCAACTTAAAGGAGCGTATTTTCGAAGGCATAGTCGACGTCGATCATCATCGAATCTGGCTTTCTCAGGTTCGAATGAAATTCTCTGAAACTTTCGCAAACACCCAGTGGAGTAACGGCGGTAAGTCGAAGGTGGCAGTAAAGTGTTCACGATATTTTCGGGAGGTCGACCCGAATGCACGGAGGAGGCCCGGCACGGATTCAACGACGCGCGAAATCCCGAGGAGCCAAATCTTTTGTGCGGTACTCGTGAAATCACCGTGATTCGCGAGTTTATTTCGGCCCCGGGGCCGCGGAAAAATGGAGCGGAATGATTGGGCCGATGACTGGTTATGCGTGTCCGCCTACGCGGAGGAAACGCTCGACCCATGGAAAGTGCACCGGAGACGCTCTTACTTCGAGGTGATCTCGAATCTCATTCACGAGGCGATCGTTACGCTACATTAAATTGCGAACAGTTTTCTTCCGTAAATTTAGAAGTCAGGTTTACGTTCAGGTTCACGATTTACCCATGCATCGAATGCTCAGTTTCACGTCATACAATATCAATGGTGTAAACGAACGTACACCCGGTTTCCTAAGATATAAGGTGATTCGAAAGTAGCACGCGAGGAGCCTCGTTTATGACACTTTTCTCCAAACTGGGTGTATTCAATTGATTGAAATCTTACCACGTGAATATAGATGTCATAAAGCAGCTCCCGACATGCATGAAATTTCCTTTTGTAAAATTTGTTTATAAACGTTATTTAATTTTTATAATAAAAATAGAAATCCCCCGAGTATCGGGACCTTCCTTAGAACCTCCTCGTTCAAGATGCACAATTTTAAACGATTCGGTGTACCCTATTCGGAAAAAGTGTCACAAACGATTGCCTCCTACTTCGCCACTTTCATATCCCCTATAAACGTGGAAACGTCCGATACGATCTGTAGCTTTCTTACGCATCGCGCAGATGTGGCAAAAGCGAGGTGTCGAGCAACGATTCCGCGACAAGCATCCCGGATTACAGGACGGCGCCAATAAAACCTAAATCGCAGAAAATTCTGAACGCGGAAAGTATCCTCCTCTGAGCGAGATTCGATAAAAATGAGGGGATCGAATCTCGCGCTTCTTTGAGAAACTACATCCAGATCGTGGACACGGTGGTGGTACGTACCTGCAGTCGAGTCCGGATTCTGGAGTGACGCCTGCTGACGCGAGTTCCCATGATGTTCTGGTTCTGCGAGGGCGGCGGGGGCGGCGGGGGTTGCGACCTCCTGACATCGTTCGCCACGACGGCGGCATTGGCGGAGTTCCTGATGTTGGTCGCGGCGGCGGTAGTCTTGGTCGTGGTCGTGGTGGTGGTTCCGTTGGCGACCGGGGCGTCGCGATGGCTCTTGGTTCGCCTTAGAAGTCTGCGAACGGTGTTCTTCACGGTGGCTGCAATATGCGTCCCGCCGCCACCTCCGCCCCCGCCGCCCCCGGCGTCGGTCATCCCCTTGTAGTCGACCTTCCTGACTCTGGTGGGCGCGGGGGCCACTTTGTGGCCCCCGGACTCCATGACGTACAGGGTAGCCACGGTGTCTACGTTGGGCGCTATTCTCGGTCCTTTGTAATGCCGCTTCGGGGTGACTCTTATGCCGACCCCTCGGAGGTTGGCCGATGAATCAAGCCGGACTCGTCCCGCGAGTCACGGCCGAAGAAGCCAAAGAGGCTTTAGTCGTCGGTCCAAGTTGGGACTGGAGTCGACGTCCTGACTAGAGTCTACGAGGCAAGACGGAAGTTCACCGTAAGAGCTTTTAGACGCGATCTTTGGGCCGCGCCAAGGACGTGCACCTCCTGGCTGGACTAGGCCTTTATTTGCTCTATTCCGTTGTTGCGCGGCCAGATCATGCCGAGAACCTTCCACCGGACTATCGCCTCTCCTAGATACGATCTTTTCTGGGCCGCAACCTTCTTGTTGTATCTTCTCGAGCATAGGACTCGTTCCTTCATCCAATTCGATCGTTCCACGTGTTTCCAACGCCTGGATGTTCACCTCGGCGCCTCCGGTCCGCCCTCCTTCCGGGAACCAAGATAGGCTTCTTCGATCCCTAGTTCCCAAGAATCGAAGTTTCCAAGCTCTGGAGTCTTTCCTCGTAAAGTCGATGACTCGAGCTCTCTCCCGCGTTCTCCAGACTCCGAAAGATGGTTCAAATATTCCCGAGTTCCGTCCGCTTATCGTTGTTCCCTCGACTCGAGGTTCCAGCTGAGTCGTCCGGTCGGCCGGAGTTCGATGCGTCGAGCTTTTCGGCCTTCACGGTTCGCGACTCAGGGCTTTCGTCCCTCCGTGGCTCTAGATTGGTTTCCGATGATCAAATGGCTTCGGCTGCTCGACGTCCGACCCGGTCGGACCTCTAGAGCCTTGCTTTCGATATACCGCGCGTCTCGTCGGGACCCACCTGCGGCGGAAAGGAAGGCGTTTAACCTTAATCGTTCCCCCAAGACCTCGTCGCGGATTTCGTCTCCGTGGGGAAAGAAAGCGCGTCGACTTCGCGTTAACCCCTCTTCCCCGGGAGAAGAAGTCGACGTAGGGATTCCTTGCGTGTCTGCCTCGAAGCGCGTCCTGACCGCGCTATTGCTCCGCGGTGACGTTTACGCAACGCGGTTGCAACGCTATCCGGCCGATTTGCATCAGAGGACAACTTCCACGTGATCCGCTATCGCAACCGAGCTTTCCGTATTTATACACACCTCCCGTGGAGACCGTTTTTGAACGACTACGCGGAGTCATGCAAGGGCGCAAGTGCGTTTGTTCCATGGAAATTAATTACGCGCGCATTCAACGAAATTCGTCAAATGAAGAGGAGTACATCGGTAGAAATTGTTGCTCATAAAATATCGGGAAAGCGGGGGCGGTACCGTTACGTTCCCGATAATTACGGTTTCGCACTTGAAACGTAACCCGGGTGGGGTGACGAGCAAAATATTTCACGCGAATTCCGCAACAAAATCGAAATATATGATGTACTTAAATATTACATCGAATAAAGAGCATGCTACCCTTTTCGAAAGATATTGCCACTTAAATCTTTTTGATTTGAGGAATTTTACTAAATTAATATCTCGCCTTCGACTTAAGGGTAATAAATTGGACCCGATGGCGGATAGCAAAAGTATAGCAGACTTCGCGACGACAACGGTGGTGTCGATCCGTCTCGCAAACAAAGGGAGATGGGAAGGGCGACATTGATATACGTGCGAATTATCGGAGGATATACATGTGTAGCTATTTGCGAATGACGTCACCGGTGGCTCGACAGTGTCCAGTCAAGTTCAGCAAAGACGCGCCCAAGACTTTTTCCCGTTCTTTTTCGACCTCTGCCGTCTCTTCGATGAAGTCATAAGAGACTCTTTTGTCCGCCCATCGAGGTGAAACATTGCCCGGCTCGAGCAAACGTCATTATTTCTTCCTGACGTAACGATAATTGATTCCAGAGAGAGTTTACGTCGCGTTGTACCGTCATAGATGTTGATTCACGTCGAATGAGTTAGAGCTTTACTAACGAGAATTAACTAGAACTCAGCAGGCTGTAATTCGCCGCAAATAAGAACGAGGACGAAATATATAAATATTACCATTCGTATAATTATCGAAACGTTAATACGGATTACAAGGCCCAGTCAGTTCGAGCTTGCACCAATAAAAATCGATGGAAATTTACATGCATTTTGATACACTTCATAAGTTAAGATTCAAATAGAAAAACGTTAAATGGAAGAATTACAAATTAGAAAACGTATGAATACACTTAACATTGTATATTTACCGCATTGGGGCATTTTTACTTGAATTTAATGTAATATTACATTATAATTTTATATAATTTAACTCAGATGCTGAATGTGATATTATAGAGACAATGTATTTTTATCGTAATTTATCGCGGCATCAAAATAACCAACGATTGAGCATGTACATTTACATGGGCATTTTTATCAGGATGCAAGAAGATTGGAAATTCGCGGAATTAAATACATCGGAATTTTTAGCGATTTTGTCACTTTTATTCGAGTCGCTCCCGAGGTGCGGCGTCACTCCTAGAAATTGCGATATATGATAAGCGCGCAGACATGTTGCGTTCGTATGAACATACGCGCGCAAACCCAGAAAAATCCGACAAAAGGTCATTATTCTTTTCATGAGATCACGAGCACGGTAAGTAATTCCCGTAAGCGTTTGCGCGAATTATTCGCGACGCGCCGTCATGGATATTGATTCACGTCGGGCGACTCGCGGAGCTCCGGTAATAAGGGAAAATGAAATCAGCGGTTTATAATTTATGACAACAAGAAATCAACTGGATGGGGAACCGTAATGGGCACGTAACGATCTGAAAATTATTGCAAATCATAAAGCGCGAGGTAGAGTCGGCCGATATTAAGGTAATAACCGAATTATCGATATTACCTTAAACATTCTCCACGAACTCTTGTAGGTATATGTAGGTATATGATATCTCGCAAAAAATACACGCGAAAAGCGTCTTCGAAGAGTATGATAGAGTGTGAGAGTATGCCTGGTCTTAAAAAATTCTATTGTATTTTATCTTAAATATTCTTTCTGAATCCTCGTAGGCACATGTACATGGAAAAAAATGTACTCAAAAGACATCAAGGTGTATCACTTTCAGCTAAGTTTGATTTTCAAAAGTTTCATATCATTTAAAACGTTTTTCGCAAACTCTTGCAGGCATATGTATTTAGCAAAAAATGTACGCGAAAAAGGACTTCGAAATGTATCGTGACCTCACTTTTTGCTAAATTTTGTGTTCAAAAATTCCTATATAACAGCGATGACTGGGCACCGGTTTCGCGCATCATAATCGACGGTTATCTCCGAAGCAACTCGCCAGTGACGTCATTTGGGACAACCTGGAAGAACGACGATTACCGATGGTTCCGCGAACGAAAGGACGCCCTTAATGGACGATCGAATGGAGACACGGCCTCGGTTTGTCTCGGCTTCAATTGGCGGTGGACGAATCGCGTCCACTGGCTCATGATTCTCGAGGACAACTCGAGAGGAAAGCCAGTCGGCAAGTATCCTCGAATATCCCCGGGATACGCCAAGAATTTAATCCCGGCCCGTGCGGAAACTCTCTGGGAATTTGCAGGACTTCCGATCCCCCGGAGAATCCCTCCGAACTTCTCCGGGAGGAAATGCTTCCGACTAGGCGAAACTTTACGCTCGCGAGACGAACGGTCAAGTTCTGCAAGGGATTATTAAGTTACTCGAATTACCGCCGAGTGTTCTGCGAAAACAATCGCTATCAATCTACTTGCACCACCTCCGAGCACTGGAGTCGCGTGCTCTAAATTTGACCGGTTTATCTGCTGTAGAAAATGCAAAGATTTTTAAAAACTCTTGCAATTGAAACATTTCAAACTGAATACTTTGATTTTAGCGGTCGATTGTCGTTGATGAGAAAACAATCGCGCTCAATCTACTTGCATCGTTTCCTAGTACTGAAATCGCGTGTTCTAAATTTGACCGGCGATCTCTTGTAGAAAATGCAAAGATTTGTAAAACCACTTGCAATAAAAACGTTACAAACTGAACACTTTTAATTCCGTAGTCGATTATCGTCGTAGATGGGAACTTTAATAAAAAATATTGTCCCCAGAACGAGGTATAATCGCACACTAACAAATAATTTGATCGCGGATAATGACTGTCAAGTATGTCACAAAGAAGCCGACGCGTGATACGTAAGAAATTAATTTACTCGAACTCGCGATTTCTTTTAGACCTGATCGTACCTATTAGTCGACTATTAGCCGTCTTTTTTATCATCGCGGTGAAATACTATTTGCAAAAATATTGCGAACCGACTAACGAGAATATATGCACAAACGGCAACGTACATTTACGGGCCAATTTGCAGGCAGCACATTGTAGTGGCGACTTCTCCGAGGAACATAAACGCATTGTTTGTTCCCCGATAACTAGGCCGAAACGAATAAATCAATATTTACATCGACTGCACTTAAGTTTAGCCCTGCTCCGACGTATCCATTTTTGCCCATTAATTACGTATTTCCCGGTAGAAAACGTCTTTTCTCCTAAGCGCGAAGGAGCTATTGATATTCCAGACATTCTTGGCCGTTCCAAGGCGACAAAATCCCGGTTATTCGAACACAAGAGTCATTTAGAGCGAATTGTGGAGTCAATGCTTATTGTGCGATGTGCGAAAGTAGGTCTCCACGAGGAACTCAGGGGAATTGATTTTCGCGTTTCACCGCTGACATTTTACTCGTTCTCAATTTACGTTAATCAATTCCCCATTTGCTGGCACAGCTAGACAAAAGGACTGGCGCGTTCCGCGAGCGTTACCCCGGACAAAAAGACAAACAAATAAATAAATAAATAAAGAATCGAAAAATTATCAGATTTCGAAATCCCCGAGGAAGACTCCCGTTCTTCCAGTCCTGTGCACAGAGAGCAAGTCAGGCAAACCCTTCGAAATAACTCAGAGGTGGAAAATCCTGTTCGGGGCAAGTCGCGGAGACAATGTTTACAGTGCGGGGCGCGAGAGTGGATCTCCTTGAGTGGATGGCTACTCGCTTCCACGAGAACTCGTTCGGGCATGTCGATCCGTGGGCGGATTCTCGACTCGTTACTCTCCGGCGAGATTTCAGCCGACCCATCCTCGATCCGAGAGGTTGTTTGCGTTATTGGAATCCTGAGCGCCGATTAAAATCCACAGAAAATAGGAAACGCAAACGTTTCCTCTACGCAAACCAGTAATCGATGCCAGGGGCGACTTATCGCCAGAATAAAGGCATTTACGTCTGGGGAAAAAAAGAGTCGCCTCAATGAATATCTGAGCTTAAACAGAAGTTGATAGAAAAAAGGATTTCCGAGTTTGCCGAACGTCGAGCCAATGAAACGACAAGGAACGAGCGCCCATGGAAGGGAGCCGCGAGTGCGACGATTCTCCGCAGAATTTCGGATATTATTTCCGGTATCTACGTTGGGATATAATTCGGTGCTTCACTTTAACAAAAGCCGACCAGAACGGCCGTATCCACGATATCGGCGTCTTTTGTCAAGGTTCGATCGATCCATCGACAGCCGCTATACGCTCAAGGTAACTGTGACCGTAGCCGAGATCAAGAGCTCGGCCCAGAAAAGTTCGCACTCCCGGGCGATACTCATTGTTCGGGACTCGGGAGAACGGGTCTCCCGAGGGATCGGCGTTCCCCTCCGTGCCAACTTTTCTTATATCCGGTTTACCGGCTCGACCTTGCGGCCTTCCGACATCCAATACCGGAGTAATTACCCCCCCAATATATCTTCATCGGGGTCGGTTTAGTCCCCCGACGACCTGTGTAAACCTTTTCTCCGTCTCCCTAAGGAGACCGCGTAAATCCCGTTTTTCCGGTCACCCTTCCAAAT